CAGGGTTGCCACTGACGAAAAAAAATATTTACCATCCACTTGAAAAAAATCTACCAAATCTGGTAAATATTTATCTACCAATAACTGTTTTATAATTGTTTTAACAAAAACCATAGTTTTGTTATTTTTTACTTATTTTAATTAAAACGATATTTTTATTATAATTTTTTTTTTAGTTATTTCAATAAGAATTAAAATTGTTGTTAAGAACTTTTTATTTAAGTAGTTATACGGTATTTGAGTCATATTATTGGCATTTTCTCAGTTTTCTTCAACCAAAAGCGGAAGTGATGAAACTAAAGGCAACAATGAAACTTCAAAATTTTTTATTGCTTTAACTAAATCCAAAAAATCGAGGATTTAAACTATATACAACATATAGAGAAATTCCAAAAATTTTCGACTAAATTTCGAATTTTTTACTCTGAATTTTTAGAACAATTTCAGGTATGGAGTTTTAAAGCAAATACGATTTGAGTATAGCCAACAATGTGCTGCTTAAAATTCCCGTTAATTTTGTTTTTTACATGCCTGTAAATTTTTTCTTTATATTTGAATAATCATTTAAAATATTTAGGCAATCAAAAGCTCCTCGGGATTCCAGTAAAAATAGTTTTGAATGGAGCGCGATATGTTCGCCATATATCGATATACATTTATACGTATGTAATTATAAAAAAGTATGCAAAGAAATGTATAATATATTTAAAGACAACTACGAAAAATAAATCGGGAACGGAAAGTTCATCAAAAATCTACCAAAATGAGAAAAAATTTACCTTTTTACAAACCCAAATTTTTTCTACCAATTTTGGTAACAATTTACCAAAGTGGCAACCCTGAATGCAAACACCTTTTTATGGCGAATATTTTGATATTTTTTCATATTTTGATATTTTTAGCCATTCAACTTTTTTTCGTGCAACCCTGCGCTGAGTTGAACGCAAATGTTGAACGCAAAGTTGAACAATGCAAACACACTTTAAGGGAACCGATTTTGTCAAGAGGGAGCGAGAAAACTGCTTTTTGAGCAAACCTTTTATTATTGAATCATGGGATAGGATGCCAACATTACCTTTGTTGAAGAATGTTGGATTCCCTGCATGCTGAGTGTTGGTTTAATACCAGCACTGAGCCCGGACTCACACATTGTCGAATCTGCACTGATAACTCCAAAACTGACTCTGGGTCAGGATCTGGGGTCTTCATCGAAGTTAATAGGGATAAGCTTCAATTTTCTATTGGGGAGTATGCTTCGGTTTTCTAGGCTGAGGTATTTGCAATCCTCAAGGATATGAAGTGCGAGAATTTAGATATCTGCAGTGACAGCCAAACTGAACCTGGTAATGAGACATCTGACCATTTGGCCAGAGCTGACTCGGACTAGGCATTCCTCGGTCTGCAACCAGTTATACCACTCCCACCTTCGGGCATCGAAGTCACCATCAATCAGAAACTGGGTGAATACTTCGCTCAGCAATGACGGGTTAGGTACCGAGGGGCTGCAGGTGAGCAAAAATGATGTTTTCTTCAATATCAGAAGGTCTCTCTAGTTTTTTTGCTCTCATTAAGCAGACGGGACTAAAGACAGCTTGAGGACAAAACGGTGGAATACTTTGTGAATCTTCCTCACCTTTGCGAGAATTTGGTATGAGACATTTGGCCGCGATGTGTTGAGAGACCAACACCTGAGCTCTAACGACATCAAAGAAAGACCGCCACCTTTTCCACCGCCTCGCCTACGAATGCTGTCAATGGAGTTCACTTACCACTTACTTCAGAGGAAGAGCTTTAGCTGCCACGAGGAAGCCGCGTTATTTCAACATACACTCGAATTTACTGGCCCACCGCATGCCACGTGCCATTGTTTTTAGAGAGCAAACAAAGTCCCTTTATTAGTATTTTCACTATCTTGTAACATTTGCAGACAAAAAATTCATGCTTCAATGGTTTCGTGTTTGTTGATTTTGCGTTCAACACTGCCTACTTCCAGCGTTCCTTTTCGTAATCCCACTTAGACGCCAGTCCAGTAACCGGATTTACCTCCAGAGCTATCATACGTTTCAGTTGTGCACTACGACGCTTCTCATCGAAAGTTACCGGATATTCAGGATATACGCCATGAAAATACGATAGTGATAGCCATACACCCAGTGAGCAAACGATTAAAGCGACACCTACACAAAATTTCCAATCGGAGCTTGGTGCTTTCATTTCGGCGAATGTCTTACAGAAACTATAACGATAGAGCTGTTTCTTCTCATCGGTAGTTAGCTTACGCCAATCGCCAGTTTCCTTTTGGCGGAGCGCACATATTTCAGCATCAGGCTCACGAAAGCGCACCGCTGGCATCGGGTAGTC